AAAAAAAAAAAAAAAAAAAGACATTTATATTCTACATTTAGAAAGACTCACATGTACCTTTGTAAGATGCATCGTGGGTGTGGTCCCACCAATTACCCTTCCTCCACCCATCTTCCCCTTTCCCCTCCTTTTGCCCTTTCCCCGTATTCTTGGGTTATAATTGGGTTATAGCTTTCATATGAAATATGAAAGGAAATAGGAAATAATTTCCTAGTAGGACTGAGTGCATTGGATACTTTTTCTTCCATTCTTGAGATACTCTGCTAAGAAGAATATTCCAGCTCCATCCATGTAAACATGAAAGAGGTAAAGTCTCCATCTTTCTTTAAGGCTGTGTAATATTCCATGGTGTACATATACCACGATTTATTGATCCATTCATGGGTCAATGGGCACATGGACTTCTTCCATGACTTAGCAATTATGAATTGGGCTGCAATAAACATTATCTTTGTTATAATGTGATTTTTGGTCTTCTGGATATATACCTAGTAGAAGAATTGTAGGATCGAATGGCAGGTCTATTTTTAGTTCTCTAAGTGTTCTTCAGACATCTTTCCAAAAGGAACGTATTAGTTTGCCTTCCCACCAGCAGTGTAGAAGTGTTCCCTTTTCTCCACATCCATGCCAACATCTCTGGTTTTGGGATTTTGTGATATGGGCTAATCTTACTGGAGTTAGATGATATCTCAAAGTAGTTTTGATTTGCATTTTGATGATGAGCATTTTTTCATATGTCTGTAGGCCGTGCTCCTCTCTTCTTTAGAGAAGTTTCTCTTCAAGTCCCTTGACCTGACATCTCACTTTGCTCAGGCATAATTAATTCTGTATTGCACATTATGCCATAAACTCTATATTACTGACTTAATATTGAAATACATTTTTTTTTTCGAGACAGAGTCTTACTTTGTCACCGCCGATAGAGTGTTGTGATGTCATATCTCACAGCAACCTCAGACTTCTGGGCTCAAGCAATTCTCTTGCCTCAGCCACCTGAGTAGCTGGGACTGCAGACGGCCCCCACAATGTCCAGCTATTTTTAGAGGCGGGCTCTTTCTCTGGCTCAGGCTGATCTCCAACTTGTGAGCTCAGGTAGTCCCCCCACGTCGGCTTCCCAGAGTGCTAGGATTACAAGTATGAGCTGCTGTGCCAACCCTTGTTTTTTTTGTTTTTTGAGACAGTCTCACTTGGTTGACCTCAGTAGAGTACAATGGTGTTACAGCTTACAACAACCTTAAATTCATAGGGTCAGGTGATTCTTTTGCTTCAGCCTCCTAAGTAGCTGGGACTACAGGTACCTGCCACAACACCTGGCTATTTTTAGAGACAGGGTCTTACTCTTGCTCAAGCTGGTCTTAAACTCCTGAGCTCCAGCAATCCACCTGCCTCAGCCTTCCAGAGTGCTGAGATTACAAGCATGAGGCACCCTGCCTGGCCTGAAATACACTTAATTAAAAGCAAATTAAGAGAAACTTCACTTACTTGTATACATGATTTTATTATGTAATAAATACATACTTTCAAGTATTACAAAATAGCTTTGTAAATGTAGTGTACAATTTTAATGAAATGGCAATCAATATACTTTTCAGCTTCATGACCATATTTTTTAACTTCAGATAACACAGTAACACTTAACACGGTGATGCAGGAAGCATCAGCTTACTGGTGGCACATCTAGTTTAAACTTTTTTTTTTTTTTTTTTTTTACTGAGTTGCATGCTGGTTTCTTGAGTTTGGGTTAACAGGGAATTTATTTTAAATCTCTTTTTATTTTAGATGAGGAAAGTGAGACTAAAATTAGAAACATTTTTCCCAGGATCTTATAGCTAGTAAGTTAGGTAGAGCTAGAACTCAAATTTGGGGTCTTATCAGAACTTTCACTCATAGCTATTTGGCTCTGCTATGTGTATTACCCTAGATAAACAGTATATTATTTGTCATTTTATATTGAAAAAAAATAACCATACGCAATTGGGTTACCAAAAAGGCTACTTTAAGTCATGTCAAAGTTAGAGAAATGTTTTTGTTTGTGTTTTAGGTCATAGAAGGTTATGAAATAGCCTGCAGAAAAGCTCATGAGATTCTGCCTAATTTAGTATGTTGTTCTGCAAAAAACCTTCGTGACGTTGATGAAGTGTCATCACTTCTGCAGACCTCCATAATGAGTAAACAATATGGTAATGAAACATTTCTGGCCAGGCTTATTGCTCAGGCATGTGGTAAGTAAATTTTAGCAAAGTTCTGAAATATATTCTTTAAAATGACAAGATGTTTTCTTTGTTGTCTTCAAATCTTCTGATATGTCTGATGTTTCTCAACAGTATCTATTTTTCCTGATTCCGGTCATTTTAATGTTGACAACATCAGAGTTTGTAAAATTCTGGTAAGTTTAGAAAAATGCATTAACTAACATTTGCTGTCAATTATTTTTTGGGAAAAAACTGTTAATCCAAACATAAATTCTGTCGTACAATTTGGACCCTTAAGACTTCTTTTGAGATATCATTTTAATATTGCTAAGTTGTTAATACTACTTAGTACCTATTTAAATCTTTTTTTTTTTTTTTTTTTTTTTATGAGACAGAGTCTCACTTTGTTACTCTGGATAGAGTACGGTGGCATCATAGCTCTCAGCAACCTCCAACTCTTGGGTTCAAGCGATCCTCTTGCCTCAGTTTTTCTATTTTTAGTAAGACAGGGGTCTAGCTTTTTGCTCAGGCTGGTCTTGAACCCATGAGGTCAAGCTTTCCACTTGCCTTGGCCTTCCAGAATGCTAGGATTACACATCTGAGCCACTGTGACTGGCCACTACGTTTTTAAAATTTAAAGGGTGTTGATACATTATCTTCTTGTAAAGTCATCATTTTTCACAATATCTTTTGAGTTGAGAATAGTGTATAAACAAACTGCCTTTCGCATTCATTGTTTATTAATGTGCAGCTTTGAGTAGAGTAGAATTTGTTCTATTTTCCAATAATAAAAGTCATACTTTTATGTTAGTATTGAAATATTCACATACATTTTCAATAAGAATTACATGGTATATGAAAACCTATAATCGGACTGGTCCTGCACTTGGGTGTACTGATTTTCACCATGAATTTATGTGCTCTCTCTATATGTATTTGTATGTGTGTTGTGTGTTTTCTGTCTCCATTACTACCCAGCTTTCCCATTAAATTGTAAGCTTGTGACAGCAGAATCTTTGCTTTGTTCTCTATTCTGTGTCTAGTACTGACAATTCTGCCTGGTACATCAGCACCAAGTACTTGGTGAATGAATGGCTAAGGGCAGTTCTCTATCTTTGGTTCTTCCTGGTACACTAAACGACCTCTCCTTCATAACAGAGACTTGTTCCATAGTGATTCTTACCTTAAGCAGAATAGTGTGCTTTATGCCTTCCAGTTCACACTTTATTCCAGGTAGTCACCGTCTCAGTATATTACTTTACTTCAGAAAAGGATATTTTTGGTACGTGCAGGATCACCCACCTTAGCCTTGTTATTTTCATGAGGTCACTGACACTTTGTTTGTTCCACTCCTCAGGGCTCTGGTATCTATTCATCTTCAGTATTGCATGGCATGGTGTTTAAGAAGGAAACCGAAGGTGATATTACATCTGTCAAAGATGCAAAAATAGCAGTGTACTCTTGTCCTTTTGATGGCATGATAACAGAAACTAAAGTACGTAGATTTCAAACTGTAAAAGCAAAAATTGGGGTTCCTCTTTTAATATTAGAGGTTGAATTTGTTCTTACCTGTTTTTATACAAGATTTATATTATTTGAATATCTAATTCCAACTACTAAGTATTACACTTGAAATATTAAATGGTGGTGTATTATTTATGTTTATTTATATATATGACAGCTTACTATTCTGCAAGCAAGAGGTTACTTTGTGTGCTCTTAACAAAAGTTTTTTTAAATGTGTCCTGAAATAAGATTTGCTAATGTAATTTGAAGATGATAAGTATATTTTAAAAATACATGTTAGAAAATTTAAAGTTTGAGTTTATGGTCAATAGTGGCTGACTTCATCTCTAGAATTCTAAGTTATTGATGGGTTCAAGTTTTACAGGATTGGAGGTTATTGGTCGTTTAGTACATATTTTAAGAAAAGATTGAGAACACAACATCAGTTTGGTGACCCTAGTTGACAAAGACAAAATACCAGGACATCTGTCTTACTTAAAATGAAAGTATTTCTCCAACTTTGCACCAAAGTACCAAAAAAACAAGTGCGTCTGTTTTGAGAGGGAGAGCTAGGTATAAGCCAAGTTTCTATTTCATACAGATTTGTATTTACCTTTATAATACAGGCATATTCATCCCTGTATTTTTTGTCAAACATTTTAATTATTTCTTTAGTAAACTACTGTATTATCCTATGACTTTGACCCCTGAAGTAGTGAAATTGTTTTAAAGAGTGCTTGTTTTGCCAGGGAACAGTACTGATAAAGACTGCTGAAGAATTGATGAATTTTAGTAAGGGAGAAGAAAATCTCATGGACGCACAAGTCAGAGCTATTGCTGATACTGGTGCAAATGTTGTAGTGACAGGTGGCAAAGTGGCTGACATGGCTCTTCATTATGCAAACAAATATAGTATCATGTTGGTGAGGTAAGAGAGAACTACATTCTTTTGTTTTACATTTTGAGTTGGATTGGGTTAACCAATATTATAAATGGTTTTTTAATAAAGGGAAAATGTAAGACTCAGATAGCAAGAGGACTTTGTGTAGGGAGACAAGAAACATCTCTGAAGAAATTTAAAGCTGAAGGACCAATGAACAGATGTTATTTGAGGAGGAAGAAGGGAAAGCTTTCCAGGCAAAAGGAATAGTTTATTCAAGAGACCAGATGTAAGCCTAGCACGTTGCATGTCAGCTAGTGTATGGAGTCAGGAAGATGCCTTTCAGTCCATGAATATACCACGGGGCACATTAGACAGCTTACCTGCCTGTTTCCGCCTACCCCCATTCATAGCACCCAGTGAAATGTCCAGAGTAAAGCACTGTGTTCCTATTCACAGAATATTGATTGCATAGAGTAAAGCAAAAGTTTTCTATATACGTTCAGTTCTGTAAGGGTTTCTCTGGTGTCTTAAAACTATAAACCCCTGGCATACTAAAGTGATACCAATTCTCCCAATTCTAGGATAATGCCACACAACCCAGACTTAAAGGGCAGCACTATTGGCTAGCTGTGCTACTGGACTCACTCCCTAGGGTCAGGAATCTGCTTCTGGCCTCAGTGCTTAGTGCAAGCCTCATGTGTTCTGAGCTTAAATTATAGTCAGAAGCATATGGTGTGGGGCTGGTGTGTAGTTTCTTGTTTAATCTCTCTATGCTATCTGATATTTTTATAATGGTCTTTGGGGTTTTTTTTGTTTGTTTGTTTTTTTAAAGGCTAAACTCAAAATGGGATCTCAGAAGACTATGCAAAACAGTGGGTGCTACAGCTCTTCCTAGATTGGTATGTGTTTTGGAAAACATTAAAAGATAGTTGAACCTACTTGAATTTTTATTACAACAATCACTTTCTTACAGACACCTCCTGTCCTTGAAGAAATGGGACATTGTGATAGTGTTTACCTCTCAGAAGTTGGAGATACTCAGGTGGTGGTTTTTAAGCATGGTATGTAGTAATGGTTAAAAGAAAATGTTTATAATAAGTATGTACATTTTCTTTTATTTAATCACCAAATTTATTTAATAACAGAAAAGGAAGATGGTGCCATTTCAACGATAGTACTTCGAGGCTCTACAGACAATCTGATGGATGATATAGAGAGGGCGGTAGATGACGGTGTTAATACTTTCAAAGTTCTCACAAGGGTCAGTATTAGCAATAATCTTTATTTGTAAGGTTTTAAAAGCACATTTGGCAGACTCCTAAACATTAGGCAGAACTCCAGAATGAATGGTTTAAAGTAAGACATGTATTTTTTATATGAGTTAAACATCCACTGCTGTTCCGTATTACAGTTTCCTACAGTGATTATGCAAAGCAATAAGTAGCAAAGCAAAGTGATCTTTAAAAAATTATTGTGAAGAGATTTTTATACCCAACCTTCAATTGCTAAATCACTGTTCCTGCTGTTCCCATTCTTTACTTTGGTCCCTCCCTTTTCACTGTTATAGTAAGAAAATTTTACCTGACCAAATTTATAATTGAGTTTTGAGTAACAGTGCCTGGTTAAGAATTCCACTCTGGTAGAGTACTGGATGCTGAAAAGATGAGACAACTGCAAATTGCTTGCTAGTGACTTTTTTTTTGGGGGGGGGGGTTCTACTTAAAGGATAAACGTCTTGTGCCTGGAGGTGGAGCAACGGAAATTGAATTAGCCAAGCAGATCACGTCATATGGAGAGGTAGTACAGCTTTTTCTATACAATTGAATTTTGTTTCTCATTTGCTTGAGTAAAAATTCAGTAATAAACAATATTTTTGTTTTAGACATGTCCTGGACTTGAACAGTATGCTATTAAGAAGTTTGCTGAGGCATTTGAAGTTATTCCCCGAGCACTAGCAGAAAACTCTGGAGTTAAGGCCAATGAAGTAATCTCTAAACTTTATGCTGTACATCAAGAGGGAAATAAAAACGTTGGATTAGATATTGAGGTATTTGAAAAACACCAAACTTAAATTGCTTTATTTTGTGAAATACAACCTAAAAATAGAAGCAGTAAGTTTAAAAGGAAAATCAGTGAGAAAGTGTTCTGATTTATGAGCAAAGTAGTTTCTTAACTAGTTTTTACATAGTTTGATAAAGGAAAATCTAGTTTTCCTTTTGTTTTACTGATATCCTTCTGTTTTATAGTGTGTAAAGTCAGCTCTCCATATCCATAAGTTCTGCATGTGTGCATTCAGCCATCTGCATGTCAGAAAAATTTATGAAAACTAAAAATAGTGCACATTTTAAAAATAAAATATAACAACTCATTATATTGCTTTAGGTATTACAATTAGAGATTACTCAAAGTCTATAAGAGGCTGCATATAGGCATATCCAAATACTATCATTAAATATAAGGGACTTGAACCTCCCTAGATTAGAGTGTTCATAGTGGTCCTGGAACCAATCCTCCTCAACTCCCAAGGTACTGTATATAGTTGTACTATTTCAGGAACTGTGCAAGGTTTTGTGTTCTTAAAAACATTTTCTCATAGAAGAATTAAAATGAAAAGATAAAAATTTTGTTTCACAGGCTGAAGTCCCTGCTGTAAAGGATATGTTGGAAGCTGGGATTCTTGATACTTACCTGGGAAAATATTGGGCTATCAAACTGGCTACTAATGCTGCAGTCACTGTACTTAGAGTGGATCAGGTGAGCAGAAAGTGGAATTTTGATTCATAAAATGGTAGTTTTCATATGGTTCAGTAGCATACTTTCATAGCAGTAAAACGTAGCATAGTTCCAAAAGTGTTTAAATACTCACATCTTTACTTGAGAGATGTTAAAGCCTCCCCCCTAAAATTTATTTTTTTCTTCTATTATAGTTTTAAATTATATTGAATATATTGTAGCTAATTTGGCTGAGTACAGTGGTTCCTGCCTGTAATCCTAGCATTTGGGGAGGCCCAGAGGCCAGAGGCTGACCTGAACACAGGAGTTAGAAACTACCCTGGGGGCTTGGCGCCTATAGCTCAACCGGCTAAGGTGCCAGCCACGCATACCAAAGGTGGCGGGTTCGAATCCAGCCCAGACCCGCCAAACAACAGTGACGGCTGCAACCAAAAAATAGCCAGGCGTTGTGGCAGGCGCCTGTGGTCCCAGCTACTTGGGAGGCGGAGGCAGGAGACTCTCTTGAGCCC